GTGCATCTGTAGTTTCAGCTACTTGGAAGGCTGAGGTGGAAGGATCGCCTAAGCCCAGCAGGTCGAGGCTGCAGTGACCGTGAGTGTGCCACAGCATTCCAGTCTGGGCAACAAGAGTGAGACTCCAACTCAAAAATAAAATACACTTTATTGAGTTGTAACTTGAATACAATGAAATCACATATTTAAAGCGTACAGTTTCAACAAAAATTTTAATTTTTTAAGAATCGAAAAGAAATGGCTGGGGAGGAAAGCACATGACTGAAAACGAGTAGAGAAAGGAGACAGTGTGCGAAACCCTGTAATTCACAGGCCTGTAATTCTCCAGCAACTAGGGCCTTCGTAAACTGCAAGGAAGGTGTCACTTCTCAGGCCAATACCTGATCACAACCAAACAGGAAATCACAGTAAGAATCTACTATCATTATCACCTCCTGATCTAAGGCTATCTATAGTTTTCATTTATTGAGTGCTTACTGTGTACGGTTTTTTTGGGTTTTTTTTAGAATCTCACTCTGTCGTCCAGGCTGGAGTCCAGTGGCACTTTCATGACTCACCACAGCCTCGACCTGCTGGGCTCAGGCGATCCATTTATCTCAGCCTCTCAAGTAGCTGGGACTACAGGCACATGCCATTACACCCGGCTAATTTTTGTATTTTTTGTAGAAACAGGGTCTCACTATGTTGCCTTGGTTGGCCTAGAACCTGGGCTCAAGTGATTCTTCCACCTCAGCTTCACAAAGTGCTTGGGTTACAGGTGTGAACCACCCCACCCAGCTCTTAATGTGTACTTTATATGGATTATCTTATCTGATTCTCATAATCATTCTATGAGGTAGCTACAACTATCCCCACTTTACAGATGAGAAAACTGACACAGAGAACATAGAAGGAGAGGCAGTGACCCCACCATTTAACCTTTTCCTGTGGAATACCAACAAGGGCAATGGTGACCAAAGGTACTATTCAGTCTCAGGAAGCACTTGCCTTGAGAAAGTGGTCTAAACCAGCAGTCCCCAACCTTTTTGTCCTCAGGGACTGGTGTTGTGGAAGACACGGACTGGGATGGGGAGGGATGTGCAGTCAAACCCCGCTGCTAATGCTAACCTGTATTTGCAGCCGCTCCCCAGCGCTAGTATCACTGCCCCAGCTCCACCTCAGATCATCAGGCATTGGAGTCTCATATGAGGAGCGCACAGGCAGGGTTCACGCTCCTGTGATGCTCTGATGTGCTCGCTGATCTGAGAGAAGGTGGAGGTCAGGCAGTAATGCGAACATGAGGAGCAGCTGTAAATACCAGATGAAGCGTTACTTGTTCACCTGTCACTCACCTCCTGAAGTGCAGCCTGGTTCCTAACAGGCCACGAACCAGTACCAGTTTGTGACCCCGGAGGTAGAGACTCGAAAAAGGCAGAGATTATCAACCTGGATTTTAATTTTTAATTTTAAGTTTCATTTTTTTTGGTTGGAGTCTCACTCTGTCATCTAGGCTGGAGTGCAGTGGCATGCTCACGGCCACTGCAGCCTTGACCTGCTGGACTCAGGTGATTCTTCCGCCTCAGCCTTCTAAGTAGCCGGAGCTATGGGCATGTACAACCATGCTGGCTAATTTTTTGATTTATTGTAGAGATGAGGTCTCACCAAAGTTGCCCAGGCTGGTCTTGAATCCCTGGACTTAGGCAACCCTCTCACCTCTGCCTCCCAAAGTGCTGGGATTACAGGAGTGAGCCACCACACCCAGCCCAATCTGGATTTTATTATTTTTTTAAAGTTTTTATTTATTTTTTGGGGATGGAGTCTTATTCCATTGCCCAGGCTGGAGTGCAGTGGAATGCTCATGGCCAACACAGCCTCGACATGCTGGGCTCAGGCAATCCTTCCACCTCAGTCTTCCAAGTAGCTGGAATTACAGGTGCGTACCACCACGCCCAGCTAATTTTTAAAATTTATTTGTTGTACAGATGAGGTCTCACCAAGTTGCCCAGGCTGGTCTTGAACTCTTGGGCTCAGGGAATCCTCTTGCCTTGACCTCCCAAAGTGCTGGGATTACAGGCATGAGCCCATGTCCTGCCTAAACGTGGATTCTTTTTTTTTTTTTTTTGAGTTAGAGTCTTACTCTGTCACCCAGGCTGGAGTGCAGTGGCATGCTCACAGCCACTGCAGCCTCAACCTGCTGGGTTCAGGTGATCTTTCTGCATCAGCCTTCCAAATAGCGAACTACAGGCATGTGCCACCAAGCCCGGCTAATTTTTGATTTATTGTAGAGATGAGGTCTCTCTAAGTTGCCCGGGCTGATCTTGAACCTGCAAGCTCAGGCAATCCTCTCACCTCGGCCTCCCAAAGTGCTGGGATTATAGGCATGAGCCACGGTGCCCAGCCAACCTGGATTTTATTTTATTTTTTTGAGTTGGAGTTTCACTCTGTCACCCATGCTGGAGTGCAGTGGCACACCCACAGCCACCCCAGCATCAACCTGTGAGTCTCCAGGGATCCTTCTGCCTCGGTCTTCCAAGTAGCCAGAACTACAGGCGTGTGGTACCACACCTGGCTAATTTTTGATTTATTGTAGAGACGATGTCTTGCCAAGTTGCCTGGACTGCGGGCTCAGGCAATCCACTCGTCTTGGCCTCCCAAAGTGCTGGGATTACCGGCTGAGCCACCAAGCCCGGTCCCAACTTGAATTTTAAAAAATAACACCTGCCGGGCTCGGTGGCTCAGCCTGTAATCCTGCGCCTTTGGGAGGCTGATGTGAGTGGATTGCCTGAGCCTGCAGGTTCGAAATCCGCCTGGGCAGCGAGACCTCATCTCTACAATCAATCAAAAAATCAGCCGGGCGTGGTAGCGCATGCCCGTAATTCCGGCTACTCGGAAGGCTGAGG